ACTTGGAGCACTCGCCCCACTCCTCGATGACCCACTCGGAGGAGATGATCTCCCTGATGGCGTTGAAGGACTCTTTCTTTCTACCGAGTGCCTTCTCCGATCCCAGCTGCGTGGGCTTCTTCACGAAATAGGTGAACTTGATCTTGGGCTGCGGCAGGTCCCCCACCGTGAGGACCTGGATGGTCAGAGGCTCCCTCAGAGGGCTGAAACTGCGGATCCTCTCCAGGGCGGCGGAGGAGCCACTGTACCTCAGCACACTGCCCTTGTAGGTGATGTCCTGCTCCAGCGTCGACAGGGTGTAATCGCCGTTGAGGATGTAGGTGCCATCTGCGGCTTTGATGGCGAGGAAGCTGCCGTCGTGCCTTGCACCCCTGTGGTTTCGCTGCTTCACCTCGATGTTCGTCGCCCCGGCCGGAATGGTGACAACATCATGGTAGCCGGGTCTGCCCAAGAGAAAAGAGAAAGGCTGAGTCCTCCGCCCTTCCCTGGGAAAGGGAAGAAGCTGCCTGGCACAAGACTGAAATTCATTTGAAGCCAGAGCGTTAAGCTCATGAGCTGCCGACCTAACTGAATTACTGGATAAAGGGATTTGCAAAGTCACACCCCATGTTATTGCTGCGGCAGAGGTGTGGCCACATGTAAGGGGCTTGCTTTCACTGGGGTCTCACTGTAAGTTGTCTTCAGCCAGATGGCTCTGACAGATCAAATCTCAGTTCCAGCGACAAACTGGGGGCAACACCTCACTGACTTGGAAACCCAAAGCTGACACCCACAAAACATTCACCAGAACAAAATATTAGCAGCCATCATATACTCACTTTGCTCTAACAAGTGTGCCAGATACTTTCTTGCAAGTGGATCCATTGCCACCGCAGATACCGCATTTGTCAAACTTCTTATTGGATCCTATCATACGGTCGCAGCCAGCCTTTACGCACTGTCCCTGGACGCAGACGGAGGTGGAATCGGGGCTACACGGGGTCCCATCCACAACCTTTGCAGGAAACAAGCAGTAGGGCATTCTCATCTTAGAAGACGCACATTGCTTTGAAATCGCATAATACAGACACATACAAAATGGAAGATCTGGACAGGTGGAAGACCTGCAGCATCCGTATTTTCAGGGCTTTTGAAACTAAAAACCAAAGCAGCCCATAGATAGTTGGGAGGTACATAGTGCTACTTCATCTCACTTGCAAAAATGATGCCATGGTGACCCAAGAAAACAACCAATTTCAGTTTTCATTAACCCCCCCACCCCGAACCATTTTACTGATTTCATAGAAAGAAAGAACATTGCTTTCTAATGTCCTTGAAGTACAGGACCAAAATTGCTTTTAATGGCATTCAATGTATCCTTTACATCTAGGAGTACTGCTCTACAAAAACCATCTGTGTCATCGCCCTGGTAGTTATTGCCTCTCAGCATCTTATGACAGTCAGTTCAAGTAGCTATGCAAGACGAACATTTTTCCTTTTGTTTATTTTAAGCTGTCAGCGTATTAGCAACCGGTATGAGAAAGCACCAATGTTTTGGCAAAGAACCCCTCCAGTTTTCCAAACATATCTCAAAGTAATCAAATTGGTGAAAGAAGAGGAAAGGAAACTAGGGTGGAGTGGGTAGAAGAGGCGGTACGTGTGAAATAACTGGAAGGACTGTGCCAGAATATTTAAAGCATGCTTGCACTGATTAAGCTGTACATGTAGGAAGAGGCGAAGGAAGAATCTAGCTTAAATAGGACAAAGACGTAATTTCAGATTCCTACACTGCTTGACCCTTAACTTCACATAAAGAGTTAGAGGAAGTAAAAATCCTATTCACGATGAGACGGAAGAGGTATCGCTTTGAAATACCTTTGGCTGTAAAACAAAGAAGTATCCTGTTCCTTTTGCTCGGCAGACCAGCTTGCATCTGTCCTTCGGAGAGACGCCGGCAAACTTGGGCGTCCACTCCACTGCAGGTCCACTTCCAAAGGGAGATTTGGAAAACTCATTGTGCTTTTCACACTGTTCCTCCCTAAAGGTTTTGCCTGCAGGCAGAGGAAAGAGAGGTGGACATTAGATCATCTTCTCTACACACTCTTCCTTCACAAGATACCCCTCCTGCACCTCAAAAATGGGGAAAAGATTACCATCGGTCTCCGGACAGTCGTTGATGTTACACGATCTGTATTGCACCCGCTTCCCTTCACAGTATTTCCCCCCGTTCCTGGGGACGGGGTTGTCGCACTCCCTGAAGGAGTACTGCACTCCACCGCCGCAGGTCCGTGAGCACTCTCCCCACTCCCCCCAGGACCCCCAGCTCCCGTGCACCGGCGTCTGGAATGACAAGTAAAAGCAGAACAGAAAAAGTTAGTACAGTAAAAGCGAAACCAAACCAAACACAAAACCCAGCAGCATGCTCATTTTTACCTAAGCCCCTTGTTAAAAAAAAAAAAAAAGCTCTAAGTTTGTTTTATCAGCTCTCTGCCTCCATTCATTCAAGCCCTTTTAA